ATGAGAGATGCTCGCTCTGCGGAGTTTGACCGCACCCTTGTTCCCCCTAGAGTTACCGGCGAAAGGTGGCCCTCATCATGGGAATACTTCTCGACCGGACGGCTGGGAGTGCTCCGGGTAACCCGTCCCGCGTCCCGGTTTTCCGGGTGCGGGTTGGGGGCCGGCCCCACCGGCCGTAATAAGAAGGCGGCGTGCTAGTACAGGCCGATAGATGCGAAAGCCAAGCCTGACTTCGCCGGGTTATCTCGGCCGTTGGGCTGGGCTCCCATCCACTTTAGCTTGGAACGCTCGCCAACCCACGCTGGAGCATTGCGTCTCAACTGGGGCCTTGCACGAATGCTCGCACCACGCGGGTGCAGGGGAGGGACCTCCACTAGGTTCCCCGCGGGCAACGGGCGGGGTCAAGCGGCCTCCCTTCGGGGAGTACGTCGCGGAGGCCCCGACCCGGCAAGCGCCTCCCCGGGGTTTGTACGAGCGGTCCGGAGCATTCGGGTTTTTCCAGGCCGTCTTCGGCCCTCGGGCCCCCTGTGGCTGTGGGGTCGCTGGATGGGATTCGGAGTACAACCCCCCAGAAATGGGGGGGCCGCTAGGGAGGCCTTGCCTCTAGGTGCGGTCGGCCGGCTTCGGCCGATACGACGTTATACTGGAAGGCAGGGCACCGTTACACGCAGTGCCCGGAGGCACGGCAGACCTTCTGCCAGAAGTGTGGCCGGAAGGGGGTCACAGTCAAGACGTGCCGGGCATGTGGCTCGGAATGGCGGCAGCAAGGCCCCTACCATCCCAGGTTCGGCACACACGTGCCCCGTGAGGCCCTTGTCCCGACGGCCGCGCCAACTCCGGCTCCAAGGTCGCGCCCGGCAACCCGGCCCACCACTGCCACCTCGGAGGACGACCTCGAGCCGTGGGAGTTCCGGCGTGTCCGGAAGCAAGAGCGGACAACGCCACCAGGCACCCAATAAAGAAAGCTTTTCTGGCCTGGCGCTATTCTGACATACGGTATATTTATTGCTCCAGACGGAGCGTGTTCCTGCTCCCGCCATTCCCGCTCTAGTGCAGGCCCTGGCTTGGATGCCCCAGAATTGCAGCTCCTGTCCCGTAACGCTACAACCTCGAATTCGAGGGTAATATCGTCCACACTCTAGGCCTACAGAGGTGAATGATTCGCCGGGTACGCCGAGGGGGAGATGTATGTCCGGATTTTAGGGTTGCGTAGGATTGTGCAGAAATTCGAAAAGAGAGTCTGACCCGAGTGAGTGCCGCGAGTGGATGTGTGAAGAAGAGGACCGAGGGCGAGGTGCCGGTCGATTGCTCCAGTGAGACATTAGGGTTCCGTTCACGTCCGTTCCTGGGAACTCCAGGGTGAGTATTCTTTACGCTTCTTTCCTACGCTACTATTCCGTTCCGTTTGCGATATCAAAGTCCCGGGGATCCCAATTTCGCGTCTATTGGTCGAAGCTCATGGCATTACGGACGCCTGCGCGTCCTATGGAAACCTGAGTACGATCACCGAAGGACCTCTTTTCCGGCCGCAATGTACGATCGCGTAAAAATGATGTACGTGTATCTGGGAATATCTGAGAATATACAACTTTCTTCATTATTCGCTAAAGTGTAGTTTTTTCTCACCTACTCCCTTAGATCAGTTACGACCCCGACCCCAACTCTCCACAACTTGCTTCCTGAGCGACACGGGACATGCCGTCCGAGTCCTCTCTCGCCGCCCTTCTCTCCGTTTCGTGACATAATTTAGGTGATAAGTTTTGCGATTACGAATTACGATTCTGATTAGACCGGTTCGTTGGTTCCGGGGACCCAAAAGTCAACTGGCGCCCATTGGATAGTCGGAGAACGGGGAGGGAGGCGAGAGCGCGGACCGACGAAGGTGCGCGAGGTTTTCAGGTGGAGGAAAAATCGCGTTACAGGATATAAGGACAAGGGCGTGAGTTTGAGGACACAGCATGGCGGGCGGTGCATTAGAACCCTAAGGTTAAGGACACTAAGGCTAAAGACACTAAGACTAAGGACCCTAAGGCTATGGACTACGATTAGACTAGGATAAGGCATACGCCTCTCAGGGTTTATTAATTCGTCGTAATGACGAGGCGGGTGGAATGTTTAGGATACTTCCGCAGAGAAAGTCCGTCCGCCTGGACCGGACATGTCGCTCGAGGGTTTTCCGAATTTGGCTGTCTTTTGGGCAAGGGCGGCCATAAGTGGACTCCAATGACCAACATAAATCAGTGATAGTCCTCGAGGCGGGTTAAACTCAGCGAGGGCCTCTTTACTGATTTATTGCTTGATGACGGAGACGTGCTCGAAAAATTCTACGGAGTTTTAGGCAACCCTCTTCAGGGAATTTATGGGCGCACTTCTGCGAACTACCCTGCAATCGGAAAACTGCTCGGCGACAATGTTGCTCCCCTCCCGAAGGCAAGACGCATGGGAAGCGTCTTGTTTAACAACCAAAAAACGCCAGTTCAACTCAGGCTTCGGTTGACTCAGGACGTCACTCGGGACGCTCCTTTACTTCGGCTTTTCACGGCTTTTCACGGCTTTTCACGGCTTTTCACGGCTAGGCTCATCAAGCTTTGATAGCCTCTCTCAACTAGTTAGCTTAATTTCTTGCGCTAGTCTGCGAACAAAGACAGACACTCGTTGGTTTTGAATCACCAGCGTGATCGATAATTAGAACATTTCATTTCGCGGATCCCGATCGAGTTCGCGTTCGGTTAGGATCTCGCCGTTTCGGTCTTGTACAACCTCGTACAGAACAACGTCGCAGTTCTTAAAAAAGTGGAGCAGTCGACATCGGTGATTTCTGCGAACCGGAGAAGAGAATAATCTCGCGGGAGATATTGGTAAAGTCTAAATCGTCGAATGAGCGATGGTACAGTGGACCTCCGAATGCTGTCTTCGAAAGCGGAGTTTTTCAACCCTGTTAGATAAATGTTACGTTTTCGATACTAACATGTTCTGTAGCATAAAAGTAACATGGAAGTTAGAGGTTAGTTATTATTGCCCACTCAGTAAGGTAACATGTTATGTAACATGTTATATCAATGTTATAAGTTCAGTTACCTTAAAATAATATTAATTTTTCAAACATTTAATAAAAAATAATGCAATTTTATAAAAAATTATGAAATTTCTTAGTTTGTATCGTTTTGTGACACTTGGCAAGAGTTACATATTATACAATAAATCAGACTTTAAATGAAATTATGTGAATGCTTACCTGTAAACTATCTGATTTTATTTTAAGACCATGATTTCATTCGACTAGTCAACAATTACTGATAATGTGTATGCGAGTACGAATTAAAATCGCATTTTTTCATACGCGTAGTAAACAAAATATGACATATATTAATCTTGTGACATTTGACGATGAATTATGACAATGACGATGACGATGATGTAATAAAATAGATGACAGCACCAATGCAGTTCTGTTTTGTTACAAATATGTGCTGCATATACACAGTAATATTAGGACAGTAACATAATGTAAGTTGAGAGTAACAAAGTTACGCTACATTTATGTAGATATGATAGTAACAAATGTTATGTAACCTGTTAGCTCCATGTTACATAACTGTTACGTTACTACATTGTAACAAATGGTTTGTAACTAGTTAGCTCTATGTTACGTAACTGTTAGGTTATTAAATTGTAATAAACGGTATGTTATTTGTTAGTTCTAAGTTACGTAACTGTTAGGTTTGGTGTTCAGTGCGTCTCAATCGATCGAGCTCAACAAGTGCTCGTTTTAAAGATAAAATGTTGACGTGTGTTTATATAGATGCGATTTTCGATGAAGCACCTCCTCCCTAGTTAAAGAGCATTGAAATTATGTCATTGCACTTTTTTTTATGTGAAAACGACCAGTTATCGAAAATCGCTCTCACGTAAATACAGGTCAACATTTCATCTTCAATATGAGCAGTCGTTAAGCTCGATCGGTTTAGAATTATGTTCGGAATCGTTGTCCCCGTGAGGCCCTGCAAAATCGCTGGAGTGGTGAGCGCCCTTAAGGAGGCTTAGGTTGGGAATGTAAAACTGGGTTATAGGACCAGGAGTTCTAAGAAAGGAATGAATAAAGGGCTAAAGGACCGCGGTGAAATAAATGTGCTCGATGCGGACGGATTGATGTTTAGATTATGATCAGTACGTGACAGGAAAGCGAAGAGTTACCAGGTATAACAGAAATAAACGGAAAGCGGACGTGGGCTTGAAAGAAAGAAAAGAACACCCAAGTCGCTTGGATGAATACTCTAACCCAGGGTTCCTTGGTATATAATTAATATAATACTAATTACTCGTAACACGGTCAGTCAGGCGCCAGGATGTCCCAAGGGTTGTCTGGTTTGCTCGAGTGTCTCTATGACTCGATATACTTTGATCAATCACTAATTGATCTTAAAATATTGATCTTAACATAATAGATTTTTTAAATGAAAGAAATTTAGTTATAAAATTCACGGAGTGTCAATCGTATGGTTTCCGCTGATCGTTTGGCGATAACATGACATATTAATCTTCGTAATTATTTCTTGTACTTATAACGTATATTTATCTCCTTTTTTTTTGTATCGTTTTGATGGCTGTTATGCTTTTTAACAGTAAGTGAAATGTATAATATGAAAGTAATTCCACGAAATACTTAAATTAAACGGAATTTAACTTAATAATACTTCTGTTTAAATCTTTAACATAGTGCTTAATTTTATGATTCGTAAACTGAAACAAGGGTTAACAATTGATGACATTTTTTAAGCTAAACAATATAAATGTAATTATGTTGTTATACGTCACAAAATCTTAAATGTTCACTAAAATTGCTAATTGAAATTGAGAATACATATCCTAAACATTTTTTATTTTAAAATAATGTCAAACTCATCCAGTAAAATATTTTTGATTCACTTATTCATAGTGTTTAACTATTGTAAAAGGAGTTTTAAATAAATCTGTATTTACGGATATCCTTTGTTATTTAGGTTTACGGGAAAATTTTGCCGCAAGTCAAGCCGATCAAACTAAGGCAGTGCAATGACAAAGAGGATATAAAACAACCCGACGAAAAAGAAGAAGAGATAGATCCGATAGTTTTTGAACCTACGATTGATCCTTGCATCGATCTTGCAAGAGCTAGAAGACAGAAAAAGGCGAGAAAAGCAGCAATACCTATTATAAAGAGGCAAACAGAAAGAAGAAGGAAAGAACGTCAGGAGAAGAAATCTGAAGCTAAAAAGATTGCTTTGCAGAAATCTTCAAAGAAAGGAAGGGTGAAAACGGCCACTTCTTCCTTATCTTCCTCGGAACAAAAAGAAACGCCATTTACAATTCCAAGCGATGACTTAGAAGCTTAAGATCGGACTGGGTACTTTAATATATTGTAATGAAAAGTGTTATGAATCCGAGTGTTTATTTCCATTATTTCTTATATGTAGGGGGAGAGTCTTGTGAAAGATCTAAATTCAGTGGAATTTAGATGTTGTGAGGTTGCCCATTTGGCCAAACTGACGAGTATTTATGAGAGCTTGGGTTGAGATGCAACGTTTTATTAACCCTTTGCGGACGAGACTTTTCCATTATAAAGGCTTTCGGGCGACTGAGAGTCGCCTCTCGTCCGCAAAGGGTTAAATTATGAAACATGCTTATATCGGTGGGAATTGTACTATTTACATGGTTTGCAGTTTATCAAATAGGTGTGCCTCTTTAGTAACAAAGTTCAAACAAATACAAACTTTTCGTCAATCCAGACTCTGGATACATATTCTTTTATAAATGATTAAAAAAACTACAAGTCAGCAAAGATTTTTAAAACAATGTTTTGAATTTACATTTTCTATATTCATTGTGACGTGGTCAATTTTTCCCGCTTCACGACGGCCCAAAATTTTTCCCAATGATTGCATTTTTGCGAATTACAGGGTCCAAGGTCTGATGGTTACCGACCCGGAGGGACAGGGAAAACAGACCTATCGATAATTAAATTTTAATTGCGTCTTTTGTTGCAAATTAATTTAGCCATCCACGGGAACTCTAACAATTTTCTGTAAGGAAATCATCTATTCATTTTCTGAGTTCCCGAGCGCGCTCTCGAGCACTCGCAGGAATATTTGGAATGAATATTTGGCGAAGTGTTCGAGGGCTCGCCAAATTTCTGTAATTCGTAGCGAAACTCCGATCGTTAAGCTGGAGTATTAACACCGTCGACCTCTCGGAAGTCGAGCACATGCACTAACGCTCGCCGCCTCTGCTTCAAGCGCGAAGCCGTCGAAAAAGCCGCGAGGTGCATGTCCAGGACTCACATCACCGATCGCGGTGCCACGACCAACCCGTCGGGCTCACCCGGAGGGTCATTTCGGCCCCGCTGCACCCCCTGATGTCCTTGTCTGCGGCGGCGGGCTGAAGACGTAACGGAGCCCCCGCGACTAAGCCGCGAGGGGGCCGCGAGGGGTTTTCGCGTCCATCCCGCGGAGGTTCGGGGGATCTCACGAATTATGGCCGCAAGCGTTGACTCAACCCCCCCGACTTCCCTTACGCGGGCCCGACCAGGCCCGAAGGGAAGCAGGGAGCAGCAACGTGGTGGCGCAAGCGCGCGCCACTCTCCGCGTCCGCCCAACCTCCCCCCAAATTCCCGATCCTTCCATTCGCCCCTTTCCCTCCACATATCCTCTCAGGCCGAACCCCGTGTGCCATGCGTGGCGTCGCGGGGCTCGCGCCTTGGACGCCGCGGCGACCAGGCCCGAGCCGCCGCGCCGCTACCGCTCGCACGAATTGACCTGCGCCGCGCCGAGAAACCAAAGGGTGCGGCCGCCGCCCAGGTAACCGCGGTAAATGCCCATAGGTAAAGTAGACAGAGAGGTCCCCTAAGGAGCTCTCTAATTGGCTGACGCGTTGGGACCCTCACTATATAAAGAGGGCCCAAAAACTGAAATAAATGCAGTCGGTCTCCCGAAGTTAACCGAAAAACGTCGCCTTATCATTTCACGCCGGAACTTTCTCCACCCATCTTCCTTCCCACACGAGTTGGCGCTCCCTTGGAGCTGCCTCCTCTTCTACCTCTCTCTCACTCGCTCTCTCCGAGTTGGCGCTCCCCTGGAGCTGCCTCCTCTCTCTCACTCGCTTTCTCTCCGAGTTGGCGCTCCCCTGGAGCTGCCTCCTCTCTCTCACTCGCTCTCTCTCCGAGCTGGCGCTCCCCTGGAGCTGCCTCCTCTCTCCACTTTCTCTCTCTCGAGTTGGCGCTCCCCCGGAGCTACCTCCTCCTCTCCCTTTCTCTCACTGTGCCGCCTGAGTTGGCGCTCCCCTGGAGCTGCCTCCTTTCTCTCTCTCTCTCTCTCTCTCTCTCCCTCTCACCCTCTCCACGTCTCGCTAGCGGATAGGCGCTCTCCGGGAGCTGCCCATGGATGTCCCGGGCCCGCGGAAAACGCGGAGGCAAACGCCTCCAGGAGCGCCGACTCCTCGCGTTCCTCCGCGAAATCGGGGTTCGTTCCGAGGACGGACGGGTCCGTGAGGGGACCAATTCTCTTGTGTCCTTCGTCGACGGGATCCGACCCGCGGGGCCCGAACGGAAAGTTGATCCGCCCGTCGGTCGCGGTGAGACCGCGAATCTCACCGAGTCCGCTATCGACCTCGCCGCCGCCGCCGCCGGCACCTCTAGGGATCGACCCAATGGCCGTACCCTCCGAGGGCGATCTCGACTTTCGGCCGGACGGTCTCCCTCGCACTCCCGGAAAGACCCTAGGGCTGGTCCCTCGCCCGAAACGCCTCCGCCGTTCCCGACGACGCCTCCTCGAGGAACTCTTCGAACCCTCGGAGGTTGGGGGCGAGTAAGGGGGCGCGAACCCCCGTCGCCAGCACGCCCTCTCAAGGAAGAAACCCCGAAGCAACCCCGTACGACAACATTTGGCGCCCAACGTGGGGCCACGAGTGAATCTCTCGGGGCCGATAAGGGCATCGATCGGACCCATGCCCCTCACCCCGTTCTCCGGGGACTACGAGAAGCCGGACCCGCCTGCAATCACCTATCCAGAAGACGGGAGGCGCGCGTGACGCGCCGAGGAGATCTTTCAATCATGTCAGTGGCGAATCACGTGACCTCTCCCCCGACCAGGAGACCCGGAGTGAGCTCAGCCCCTCCGGATCGTCGACACCACTAATCACTTCCGGGAGGGGCCTTAAACACCCGGTGGCGCCCAATCCTACCACCCCCACCATGGACAACGAGGCCAAGAGTATCGACCCCGAGGCGATGATGCAGGAACTGCTACGCCGGATGGCGGCCGGCATGGCTTCCTTCAATGCCACTCCCCTACCGGAGTTCGGGGGCGAGGATCACGAAGATCCTCGAAAGTTCATTACGGCCTGTGAAGAACATTTCCGCCGAGCCGGCACCCCCCGGGAAGTCTGGCATCGCAGCATCGCCCCCGCGTTCAAGAAGAACGCTGTCGCCTGGTGGAAGGGCCACGGCACTCTATGCCAGGATTTTGAGGAAATCCGCCGAAAACTGACGGAGGCCTTCGACGGACCGGGGGAGCGCGTAAAGTTGCAAGTCCAGCTGTACGGCCGACGGCAAGAAGAGCGAGAGCCAGCAGGGCTCTTCGTGCAAAAAAAGATCCTCCTCTTCCGGTGAGTGCAACCTGGGGCCACGGAGGCAGAAATGGTGCAAACCATCGTGGAGACCCTCCACCCACGGCTGCGACTGCTGCTGTCGCAGTTCCACATCCCCATGCTGGAAGACCTGGAACGCCGCATTGTGGCATTCGAGCGAGTGGAAGCGGAGAGGTTCCTCGCCATAACAAGCCGTCCCGGACGCGGAGAGAGGAGACTCCGAAAACCGACGCCGCCTCCGTCGTGAAACCAGCCCGCGGCTCCGGGGAACCGCCCCAATGTTGGCATTGTCCGGGGCGCCACCTACATCGAGACTGCCCGGTACTCGCCGAAAGGCAACAGCGACCGGCGGAAAACTGGAGAGCGCCGCTGGGGACCCCCGCCCCGGCGAGCGGGACCGCCCACACCCCCGATCCGGACCTGCCGCTCCTGCGGGTCCGCTGCCAGGGCGCGGAAGTGTTCGCCCTGGTAGACTCCGGCGCCAACCGGAACTTCGCAACAAGGGAAATTCTGGGTCCCCATCCTCACTTCACGGACGCTGCTCCCGAGAAAATCCGGTTGGCCGGAGGGCCGTACGAGCTGGAGACCCTGGGCGAGACGACGCTACGTTTGGAGGCCCTCGACTACCACTGGGAAGGCCCGTTCCTTGTGGCCGAGGGACTACATTTCCCGCTCGTCCTGGGACGTCCTTGGCTGCGGGCCGAACGGGTCGTCATGGACTACGACCGGGAGTGCCTGTTCGCGGGGGCGGGCCTCCGCATCCGCCTGCTCTTCGAGGACGCTTCGCGGCCCACCCAGACCGAGGCCGCCCTCGCCGACCCCGACGACTACGACGAGGACTTCCAGGAGGCCGGGAAAGCCCCATTCCGGAACCTGGTGCGGCAACACTAATACATCTTCTCTCGAGACGGCACGCTCCGGCAGATGCGCAGCGTGGTCCATGAGATCCACTTGACGCGGGATACCCCCTTCTGGACTCCGTGCTACCGGTATTCCGACGTTAAGAGGTGCATTATCCAAGAGCAAGTCCGGGAGATGCTGGCCTAGGGCATCATCGAGCGGTCCACATCCCCGTACTACTCTCCCATCGTCGTCGTGCAACAAAAGGACGACGGCGCGCGCTTCTGCGTGGACTACCGGCGGCTTAACAGCATCACTCAGGATGCTGCGCAGCCCATGCCGGTGATCCAGGAGGCCCTGCGAGACCTAGGTAACGCCAGGATCTTCTCCTCGATGGATCTCCGAAGCGGGTATTGGCAGATCCCGTTGGCGGCAGAAGCGAGACCCCTTACCTCGTTCTCCACCCGCGACGGAGGCCAGTACCAATTTCGGGTAATGTCATTCGGGTTGAAGAATGCGCCGTGCACGTTCCAACTGTTTATGAGCCAGGAAGTGGTCGCGGGGTATATGCAGCAGTTCTGTCTGGTCTACCTCGACGACATCATCGTGTATTCGTCGAACTAGGAGGACCACCTGCACCACCTGGGCCTGGTGTTCGAAAGGTTGTCAACCTTTGGACTCACCTGTGCTAACGAAAAGTGCCACTTCGGGAAGGAGTCTCTTACCTTCCTGGGACACATAGTCACCGCCGATGGGAACACCACGTATCCAGAGCATCTGAAGGCGATTACCCACGCCCCTCTTCCAAAAAGTAAGAAGGAACTGCAGAGTTTCCTAGGGACCTGCGGCTGGTTGCCGGAATATCTTCCCCGCTTCGCCGAGGTCACCGGCCCCCTGACGGACACGCTGCGAGGGACCGCGAAGTGGAAGATGACGCTCGCGGCGGAGGCCGCCTTCCACCGGCTGCAAGAAATGTTCCGGCAGCCGCTACATCTCCACCGACCTGATCCCGCCCTGCAGTT